GTTTGTAGAAAGACGCAGGGGGTTCCTCGATTTATGCACGTCATTCTTTGTGCAGGGACTATGCTAATCTTCTTTCTCTGTATCGTTCCAATTTTCACGGATGTCCCCAATCACTATCTCGCCCTTCCTCTCTCTCTCTCTCTCTCTCTCTCTCTCTCTCTCTCTCTCTCTCTCTCTCTCTCTCTCTCTCTCTCTCTCTCTCTCTCTCTCACGCGCTCGCCGCCCTGCCCCCCTGCTCGTTTCCCCACCTGCGCTCACCCCACTCACCTCTCTCATTCGCCCTCCAAGCGCGGAATTGAGCGGAGCTCAAGTCTTGAGCAAGGACCACGCGCTCAATCAACGACCACTGCAAAGCACGTGTAACCTGGGCATTAACTGAGGTAAGGAGAAGGGGGATAGCTCTATAACTTGTTCTTGTTTAGGTCAATGTCACAATGCAGTGTTGGCAGTTTTGCCTGGGCAACTATTTGTTGTTTTGGGAAAGGGGAAAAGGGACAAAAACTCTGGTTGCATCGTCAACTTGGATGATCTTACTGATGTGAGTTTGTTGCGACTGTGGATGGGTAGCACCTTTCTCCGTTGGGTAGCTGTTCAAGACTCGTTCAACGTATTATAAAACAAAAATGAGCTTGTCCTCGATCAGTCTGAGTTTTTGGTAGATGTGAGTCTGTTATTTCTGATTGTGTCCGGATTCAAACTTGGGTCCGTATTCTAACGTTTTGTGGGTGTACCAACTGAGCTAGGCTTGTCGGCAATGTTAGTCGGGTTGTTTTGCTTTTTCGCAGATGCTTTTTCTTGTCATGGTGGTGAACGCTCACACCTGTCCCGTTGTGCAGCTATGCGACACGTGTCCGGTCGATCACAAACGAAGCAAGCCGCAACATCCAGTCCAAGGAGATCTTGAAGCTGAAGAAGGTGATTGCGTATTGGAAAGAGCAAGCAGGGAAGAAGGGTGAAGGAGATGATGATCTGGAAGAAATCCAAGATGCTCGGCCCAGCAAAGACAAGGACGATGGAGCTTCATGACTCTGTTGGTTCATTGGATGTCATGTCAACATGAAGTTGGCAAGCGCAAATTCAGTGATCGTGAGATGAAGACAACCCTCGTGTTATGTGGTGTGCTTCATGTGTTTTGCTGCAGTCAGTGTCATCTTTGCTTTGCGCGAGACAGAACGATCGCTCTCTCTCTTCATATCGATCTTCAGTATAGGCCCAAGATTCCGCAGCACGTCGGTACAGTGGTCATTTCAGAATCCGGCATGACCAGACAAACAATAAGAAGTGGCTTCTGTCCTTAATGCAGCTTATTGTTGGGGGTGTTTCAGGTGAGCACTGCTTATTGTTTGACACGGCATCAGTTTGGACCAGGCGGCTTGCTGTGTGTAGGAGAGTGGTGAGGTGTTTCCCTTGCAGGTGGATTGTCACACCGGTAGTGTGCTTGCTAGGAAAAATGGGGATGCACCCCAGTTGTGAGGTGTGAGATCAGGTGAAGCCGTTCTCCTTGTTCTGGATTTGTAATGCCTCTCTCCTTGCAATGAAGATTTTATTGTTGTCGGGCGAGAAGGTGAGCGTTATTGTGATGAGCAGATGCGAGATTCTGCTGGGCGTCCGCGAGTGCCGTGTCAGGTGGTCTCAGGGGTTTTGCAGTTTTAAGGTAATGGTTCACTTTTTCCGTCTCTACGGTCTGTTGTAACCAGATGGAAGATTTATTGCAGCAGAACAGCAAGTCTTCTCGTGCCATTCTCAGCTGAGCTTCACTTTTTGCGTCTCCACGGTATGTTGGAACAGATGGAAGATTTCTTGCAGCAGAACAGCATGTCTTCCCATGCCATTCTCGGCTGAGCTGCAATTCAATATCGAAGAGTCAGAGCCTGCAACCCCTCTCTCTCTCTTCCGTAGGCCAACTGATTTGTAAGGAGAGGGAAGGATGTACAGAAGTGTCACAGAAACAGTTGCCTTTATATGTTGCCATCTCATAGCCATAGATCTCAGTCACAGATCATGGGGAGCGAGTGGCAGACGCAGAGTGAGTTCAGGGTGTGGAGCTGGGGATTGCTTGTTTGATTGATTGATTGATTGATTGATTGATTGATCGATTGATTGATCGATTGATGAACTGGCTGATCAAGTGATTGATCGAGAAATAGGAGCTGGTTCGGCAAGCATTAGTCGTTCATGATGATAGAGTTAGGTGTGCTCGCAGCGTAAATAGAATCTTCTGGAAGGAAAGAGAGAAGTTCAAAGAACGCATGGTATGCCGTGCAGGAGGCAGCTGTGCTTTCAATTTGCTCGAAGTTTGCTGCCATTCGTTGGATGAGAGGACAACTGTCCCTGACTATCATGGAGACATGGAGAACGGAGCAGCATTGTTTTGCAGGTCCTCTCTTCCTCCTCCTCCTCCTCCTCCTCCTCCTCCTC